TCGCTTTGTTTTAATCGGGTGAGCCGAGGAATAATGAACCAAAATGTTCACTGCTTGACTTTCGATACCATTCGATCCTGACTGCTCCCGTTACAGCTGGATGTGAATATTGAGTAAGGGCAGCCAAGTCTCGACGGGAAGTTCGGGAATTCCTGCAAAACTTTGTTATGAACTTCTGACCAAATCATTTTTTATTGAACGTGACCTTCATTCGAGACAATACGCAACATTCGCAGTCTCGTTTGCTGCGGATGATGGGCCAGTGAAGTTGGGTTCAGCTCGCCGTCAGCTCGTTCTCCGCCAGTCGTTGAACAGGGTTAAGAGACAACGACCGGTGGAAAACAAGTGATAGGAACGGAGTGATACAGACTTGCTGCTTGCTTGCTTCAACAACTGATGGAAAAGGGATTGGCTCCGCCTGAAAACATCCCACCTGACGTACCCCTTCATCCGCAGCGAAGAAGACTCTAGGATATGTAGCAGCATACGAAGTTTCTCATTTCTTCACATCCAGAAATCCGGCGACAGCGATGAGAAACCCGGTCGATCTCGTTTGCGAACTGCATTCAATTACCTTTATTTTTGCATTCCTAGTTGACGCACCATTGCTTTGCACTGCTTCAAAACGATTCATACTTAGAAGGGGTAGGCTAGTCTGCCGAAATAAATTGAGGAGCAGTCATACTCTCATAACGATTCCATATTTTTTTTGTTCGTCTTCCGCTACTTTCGTGCTGTAGGAACACATTATGCTTTTCCACGAAGTGAGTCAGAAGATACATTATATCCAAGGACTTTCAAGCTCTGAACGAATGAAATATATATTTATCCTCTGAGTCATTGAGGAACGCCATTCAATAATATCATGGTTGGAAAATTCGAGAAGAGTTCTAAATTTTTTTCAATACAAAATGTGATTCCAGCGCGAATAGCGAGACCTCAAAGCCAATATTAAAAAAGATGGTTTCTACAACAAAAATGGAGGCCAGATCAGTGGCAGTTTAGTCATGAAACACACGCTATGAATATTCATGAAACAAAAATTGATCCGAAAAAAACATAAAAAATTGCCTTCAGAAGGTCGTGTAGCCAGGAGAGTGCTGTTTGTAGGCCTTGTAGAATGCCTGAGATGGTTTTTTTGCGACTCATACCCACAAACTTACCTTTATGGGGAGCCCCAAAAATACAGTAAGTTAGCAAATAACAGATGAGAAACACGGCATGGTCCCTTTTTGAGACGCGTGCCGCCCGCTGCAAACCATTCCATACCCCAGTGATGAGTAGGGGACGGCGTGCTGACGGTTCATCTTGAGCCGGGCCGGCGACGTTCGCTTGCGTTTGATGAGACACGGCCATTTGAAATGGAAATATCACACGAAAAGGGTCCCTACGTCACATTTGAGTGGAGCACGCAGCCGTGCCCCTTCCATCTCTAGGATATCAAGCATGGGTACGAGGGTAGGGCGTACAGAAAGTTAGGGCTTGATGAGCCGTCTTGGGTGCGCCCTTCGTTGCAAATGCACTACACAGCGTCTGTTCAGAGGTAACCTTCAACTCGACTGCATATTAATCCTGGGCGTGTCCTTAACTTGTCACACTCACTTCTCAACAACCTCGCCACTTTGGCACACTGTGGACCGCCGCTCTGCGAGGATCTCCGCACCATTTCGCCTCTTCTTACATCACTTATCACTAACTTTATCGGCTTTTCCCGTTTGAGATAGAGGAATTCTGTGCCCAAAAGCGTTTAAGTAACTTCAAAGCAGTAAAAGATGCCAAATAGACCATATGAAACAGCGCAGATAGAAAATTGTATGACACAAGAAAATGTATGACATAACATGTGGGTCACGCCGTCTGGAACGTGTTAAAAGTGTTGGTAGCACATTCTTCAGAGCTGTCCGTGCTCACACTTGTATTACCCTAGCTTTTCCATTTTCCCCCGACATTACTGGAGCGCTGAAAGAAGGCCTGGAACTTTTTCCAAGCTCACGGTCATGTTCTAAATTCCCTAGATTCTAGGGAATTTGGAAAGATTCAAAAGGATCAATCACAGCTAGGTTGATGAGCTGATATCGATAGACTTTCGTCCGAGGAATCTTCAAATTGAGCTTATCAATTCTCTAAGGCACTGTCCGCGATCAGGTATAAAAGTTGGAAATATGGCGTTGGGAGGGTAGTGTGGTCCGCGACGAACAACCTTGTACCGGTTTTGCGGCAAAAAATTGTAAGGGAGGGGCGCTATAGCGCAATATAGGTTCAGTGACGCCTCCTTTTTTCCAGTGACTCCGCCTCCAGACTCCGCCTTCAAGGCCCGCCTTTCAGTGAAAACGAAGCTGCAGGACGAAAAAGCATGAAAATCGTCACTTGCACGGTCGTAGAGTTATCACAAGAATGCTGAGTTGTGGGCAAAAGTCGGACCACGGACGGGATTCGAACCCGCATCTTCTGCTTACCGGGCAGTTGCGTTCCCGGTAAGCAGAAGATGCGGGTCGTAGAGTTTTATCGGGGAATCAGCTGTGAGGATGGGGGCGTGGTGTCGAGCTTATCGGGAATCCGCTGACGAGGTGTTGTGGGCGTAATGTTGGAGCTGCAAGCTAAATGGGACCGCAAACGTGGATCAAGTGAATGGAGGATGTTTTATTCCACAAGAATCCTGTTTTGTTCTCCGCTTTATTTTTTTACTTACGCTATCGATTCACTTGCAGAACCTTGGTGTCCATATGCAAACCCCCTAATAATATTATACTATCGTGATCGGTGAGCTTGGTCGCGATTTGCCTGTTAAAAGCGGACGTACTTCATACTGAGTCTTTACCAGTTTTAAATACTTTTATCGTAATTGAGTTGAAGAAAGCAATGTGGATGAAGGTCGAATAAGGAGCAGCATATAGAGAGGATCGTAGTTCTCCACGAGAATGAACATTATCCGAACATCGCGAATTCCAAGAAGCAGTGAACAGTGAACAGATTCCCAAGCCTGCACGCATCCCAAGAAAAGTAGCTCTCAGCAGATGAGGGGTGAAGCGGAGATAGCAGTAAATGCCGTTGGAAGATCCATCAATGAGCCCAACTCTTGTCACCTGAATAGCCATGGACATAACTGGCCCACTTGCTGTGCCCAAACTCAACAAGAGCCATTGGTCGCAGTTAAACCTCGAAAAAAGTCATGCATGTAGACCGAACAGTGATGTCGGCACTTAAAACACATGTTGTGTTCTAGCAATTACTAGAGAACATCGGCGTGGGAGATATGAGTTGAAAAACAGTAAAATGTGAGTAAAATTGTTCTTGGAACAGCGCGACACAAAGAAGAGCGGCATGGGCTGTTAAGCAACACCGTTCTGACAGTACACATGTATTGGACGGCATGTGACTCCAGCTTCAACGAGGAGTTCAACAGGTATTTCCACGCAACAAGAGTGAGATATGTATACCAGACACTAGTGCAGCAGACGAGAAACACGTGCCCCGCCGCGGTGGTCGCTGGCGAACATGAGAGCGCGGTCCAGGACAGCCGGCCCCAGCCGCTCATATGAGAGCGGACGCTGCTCAGAGAAATGGTCATAATCCGATAGGTGCACCGTAGGCTTCAGAACTGTATATAGTAAACTAGTGTTCTGTGCAGTGCATTATCGGAAAGCATGAGTAGAGTCGAGTGAATTGGCATGAACTTAGAGATAAAGTTTTTGCTAGGGAGAGTATGTTAGACTTTGTACTATGCAATGATGGCCGCACCATATTCAGGCGGAAAAGAATTTGCGTACAGAGCAGCAAAGGGACCACAAAGGAATTGCACAACAGCGAACACAAGGAGAAATTCCAACGATTGAAAATGGTGACAGACCTTAACACTTTGTGCGCGCGGCCGACTAAAGAGCAGGATAGTGTGGACACGGCGAGTGATGTGTCACGCGGTCCGGAATGGTGTCTAAGCGATTACTTCGGGAGAGATTTCGCAGCCATTGTGGAAGACCTGGTGGCATTTTATGCAAACAACGAAATCAGCTACGACACGTGACTACGGCTCTAGAACGCATCCTTTCGTTCCGAAAACAAACTGCTTTAGTCATGGATGTTGCTCAAAGTCTCTGGATGGCGCCAGTGGGCATCAGCGCTCCACGCGGAGGTGGTAGAATGGTGCCGCTCTACGTAATGTCGTCCATAGCACTTTTATGGATTCCGTAGGGCTGCAAGGAGATGGTGAATAGGTCTTTCTACGCTGTACTATTTAATCGTCTGCACACTTGCAAATTTAAGGTAATGATTTTGTGGGGTTAATTGATTATTTAATGTTTCGTAAAGTGTTTCACACATTCGGGCTCCTAGAAGTACGCAAACGCTCTCAGCGATGTGACTCCCTTTCGTTTCACTGGGGTTCCGGTCTTACCGACTTACGACCCCCCCTCATTCGCAGATTTAAATAAGTCCCCTCTCCCGGAATTTCGCGAAATAATGCCCCCCATGGAGCAAATGGGTTGTGCTCCGCCTAATAAAGGATTGGCCACAGGTTCTCTAAAACCAGGGTGAAAGAGAGGCAGAATAAGTTCATCCAAGAAATGGTATTTGTACATCTGGCTGAAGACGAACGCCGAGCGGCCTGTCTTGTAGTGGTGATCTGTGGTTGAAAGAAAGTTGAATACGTAGCTATGTCAACTGAGGGGGACTTTTATTTGGGTTGGGGATTCTTAGTCGCAGTCACCGTACGACCCACCCCCCCCCTATTTTTCAGAGGTCGGTGCGAACTCTCCTTGGTTCCCTCCTCACAATGCGAACTGAGGTCGGGCCGATGGGGGTCAAGAACCCGACCTTCCCCTAATGTCTTCGACTTGATTCCCAGGCACATTACGTGATCACTTTTTCCGGGATTTCCCGTCACCAATGTCTATCCGCGCAAAAATTTCCGCTAGATTTCAAACAATGGTCAAACTGTCTAAAATTGGCCTCTGAATGTGATACCGCAGTTAGACGGACTTCCGTAATTTGTTTGGCGGCCAAAAATGGAAAAATCGAAAATGAACGCTCACATGGCAACAAATGAGCACGTCAGAGGTAGGGCAGTAGTGCACCAATAGCGTTCCGTGTGCAAAAATAGATTCATATGTCCTAGTTAACTTAGCGGTGAAGAAAATGGGCAAAGCTGTTCAAAAACGCTAAGGTCCTAATACTGGATGAGTGTTTGGAAAAGCGAGACAGTGCTGGATATGGAGACCGGAGAAAGACGATGGGCACTAACTGGAGGCGACATAGGTCCTTGACAGCGTGAACACAACGCGTCGCTCCTGCACTTATGGATAGACCGCTGACATCTCTGGTCTCCAGACGGCTGATGCGCATAACTTCGGCCGGTGGGCGTTCTTCGCAGAATAACGGCCGTAGCCCCCCTCGACACAATAGGAACAACTCGAGAGTTGACTGGGCTAATGCTGAGAACAAGAAATGAGCTATACCGTCTCAGGACACTCATCAACCATGGATCCCATCTCCTCTTTCCTTTTTTTTTCTCCTTCCTTCTTCTCCCTCCTTCCTTCCCTCTTCCACGCTCCTTTTCTTCCCCCTTCAACTAAATACTAGTCAGGTAGATGAGAAAACACCTCCGGACCCTCGCAGTGAGAGCATGTTCGGTCGACAAGAGTCCCCTAACTTTCAGGTGATCGCAGATCATCTCAAAAATGAGCGATGTGTGGATCTAGGAAGTCAGGCAGTAAATCTGGAATAAGTTGAGCTCAAATCTAAGAGTTTCATGCTGAATCGCTGCTGCTTCGTGATCAACCGGTGGCTCATCCGTTATCAATGAGTCCCCATGAAGTCAGTCAGTCTGAGAAAGTTTATGTGAATGAACGTGAGTTAGTGGTGCGCCGATGATCTCATAAATCTCAAATACTTCCAGTAACTGCAGCAGTTGCTTTGCAATCATCGGAAAAAAAACCGTGAACACTGAGCTCCTTGAGCCGGCGTTCGATGAAAAAAATTGATTTCTAGCACATTACCGGGCTATTTATTTTGATTTCTTTAGTTTCTGTTTTTATATGTTCCTGGTATTGCATCTATGAGTCACTACAGACCGCAGCTCTTCTCCGTGGTCTTCTTGAGGAGCTGTATGTCCAATAAAGCATTTTTGGTATCAGCACGTGAATATCGCTGTGGCTAGAGACATTCGACGCTTATATGGTCCGCAGGACGAAATTCAGCAAAGATTCTTCTGCCGGTCAAAAAAACACTATTGGCTGAGTCACAATATCAGAAAGTTTAGCGCAGGCCAGGGCGAAGATTCGAAGATGTCCAACGACAAGTCCGCCGGCGTAGCAGGCCTCTCGTCCAGTACCTTCATGTACACCAAAATATGAAGTCATCTCCAGTCGCAGCCTGACTGGAAGACCTTTGGAATTCATGTCACCTCCAAACAGCTGCGAAACTTCTAGTATGGAGTCACCATGGATAGCTACCTGGAGACCAGTACTCTCAATCTGGAAGACCTCCAACATCGAGCAGCCCGAACTTGTACTGGCTAACAGGATTGGTGGACCACACGAATCGAAGAGTGTAGGGAAAACCCTTGCTAGTTGGGATGGAAGGGCTGAGAACATAAAGAAGACAGGAATAGTCTTCTGCAAGCAGGATGGTCTTTAGTAGCGGCGAAATCAACGACATCGCAGAACTCAGGCGCCGAATCACGGTCGCGTAACAGAATCTCTCGATGGTTCCGTCCAGAAGGCTGTGGCCGGGAGTAATAGTGAAGTGAGAAATGGTGTGTTGAATTTGATGGTGAATGCGGCGATCAGGATTCATAATAAATTGTCACTTCATATCGCCTTGAAAGTAGAGGAAAGAAGTGTGGCTTTTTGCCCGCCCCCCTTTACAGCATCAAATAGTGTGAGCTCCTTCACAGAAGCTCGTAGTTAGTGCATAGAGGGGCGTAGTTTGGCTATGTGCAACATTTATACGACTCGTATTCTTTTCAGGGTCCAAGGTGCCCCCCTCCTGAACCATCTTCGCCTGGCTCATACGCGCGGAACATGCAGGCTAGCTTGGAAAAGTGCATCCATGTAGCACACAAATAAGGTCGATAATGAGTATGTCTCAGAAATCAGAGCATTCCGTTATGATAGATTCACCTGTCGCCGCGCCGAATCGCTCAACAAAACAGGAACCCTGAATCGAATGTAATCTCCGCTCATGAGAGCGCGACTTGCTACACAGGAACCTTGAAAGGGGAGGCCTCAAGGGAGTAGTTTGTCCCCTTTAAGGTTCCTCCAGGATCTGTTAGTGAGTCTACGCTGCCTGGAACATTGGAACCAGGTGACAGCACTGTTTTTCTAGATCTGATCGCTGATCAGATGTGTTTGCTATCTCCTCTGCTCCCTCCACTCCCGCCCGAGGGTGTTGGGAGAGGAGCACGATGAAGGAAAACGTTCAATTCATTTAAATGAGTTTTTTTTTTTGTTTTTTTTTTAGAGAGCACTGCCTGGTCACCCATGCTCAGCCAATTTCGAACTAATAGTCGAGGCGCAGTCTTGGCGACGAGGGGGGCATTTCGTATTTTCATTGCTTGCCTAATTGCGGTTTACAAGTCTCACTCTGGCTGGAACCTGTGAACTCTTGAGAAGCTGGAGCAAGGTCGTCAAGCCATCATGGTAAAACCTGTCAACTCGAGAAGAGGCTGTCTAGATAGGTCGACACGTCGATGGGAAGTAGCAAAAGTGCAAAATGCCCTCCCCCCCCGCCCCCCGTCGCGCGACCTGCGCGGTACAGTACAGTAAAGACGTGTACGCATTAGTTAGCATCCATCATTGTGGAATTCTGGACAGGTCGGTCCTGCTCCATTGCTTGGAAGGCTCATTTCACTGGCAAAAGCTGCCTAGAATCAGAGAAGTGCAAGACACTCACCCTCACACCTCAGCAAGATTTCTCGCGACGTAGTTTGAGGTGGGGTCGTATAAAGGAAAAAGATATCGAGTCAGGTCGTATTGATGAGACATTTTCCTCATCCCCATTTAGGAGTTCCATGGAGGTTCATGGATAGCTACCAACTTTTCGTTTACCACATACGCTGTATAAATTCTGTCTGCTCTGAAATTGCGCAAAATATTAAATTCCATAGTATTTAATATTTTTCCTACTTGTTTCATTGCCAAAGTACTCATGAATGTCTAAAAGTTATCGATACGATAGCTATCAAAATATTACTGATATTCGAAAATTTGTAAAAATTCCTTTCTCTCCCACCATATGTTCTGAAACTTGGACGTTTTAAAATTTTGCATTAATTTTTGCATATTTCTGAACCCGACCATTCCACTCGCGATGCCCTCGATGAACTCTGCCGTCCAGGCGTGGGTCTAGTCGACCTTTTCGTTTCGCAACTCACTCACAGCGCTGACTCTGTGAGGCGGACGTGGCAGCTGGCGGCTATACTAGTGACGGAGAATGAGGGAGTGGCACTCACAGCTTGACTCGAGAGACTCAGAGACGTCGGTGGCAGCATCTTTATCCACACAGAGCCATTACCGAACTCTCACGCTTCTCCGCGATTCGCTATCATTACTGCAGTCTTCTGAAGAACAAACTGAGGTGAGTACAAGTTATTTGGGCTCTTAAATTAACTAGAGTGTATTCACTACTTGGACAATTCGTCATTGAGCTGTCGAAAGTCCACTGTTAGGTTGCTGAACTCGTGGAGTTGAATTTCTCTGAAACTTCTCTGCCTGGCACAGAGGGGCACACCTGATCAACTGTTAGATTTTTAGTTTCTGAGAGATAAGGTCCGCTTTTGAAAGCATCTTTCCAGTTTTCAGCTACTTTTCTTGATTTTCCCGCTCTGCGGAAGATCCACTCCACAACCGTCAGCTTCTTCTAAATCCTTCCTGCTACCGTATCACTAATATAAAAATCAAGTATTCTAATAATATTGAGTCTTTGGGAACATTCCTCATCTAACGGGACAGGCTTACTCTCGTCGCTTTTCGTCTTCTTTCGATGTTATGCCGCCTGCCTGCTCCTCCTCCAGTGGTAGTTTACAATGCAGAGATCGATGCTTTGGCTTACCAGCCCTGCAGTGTAAGCCCAATATCACCTCCATCAGTTTGATCCTCGGATCCATTTATACATCTCATATGTGTGATACTAATAATTCTCTATTTCATCCTGACTAGTTGACTCTCTGCCTTGCTAGAGCACTTTTACCGAGGGCCAATATAGCTTCTGACGTAAGACTGAGGCTCATAAAGCCTATCAAAAACTGCCAAGACTGACTAGTTATTGCCATTCTACATGATCCTCTCTGGTTCGCCAGTTATGTTGGTAGTCAGTTGTTCATCCACAGCGCTCTATTTATACCAGCAATTTTCTTATGATATTTTGGTTTTTCTGCAGAATTACGACACAAACCACACTAATGTCACTGTGAGCTTTGCACCTCTTCGTTCTCCTTTGGCAACTTCTCTTTTCGAGATTCATCAGAGGAAAGGCGTGGGGTTTCCAGGAGGGAAGGACTACACCTTGATTCCTCTCTGATCAAGAGCGAGACCGATTTCATCGGTCCTCGCTCCTTATCAGCGGGCTCGTAGAAAGTAATGCGCGGTTTTCAAGGATTTTCGTAGCTACTTTTGCTTTATAGTGTAGCTGCAGGTATGTTTTCCGGCCAGTGCTATTCGGTCCAAAAAGTTCTTTGCTGAATTGTCCAAGATGAATTCCTGCGGCGATGAATAGATGCGCATTCCGTTTCTTTCCCGCACTGGAACGAAACTTCTCTCCCACTCACTCGTCTGTCCTACTCATTTGGCGGATCCGTCCAGAGTGAGGGGCAGGGCTCGTCCTGTCAGTGGGGAAATTTTTCGGAAAGTACGACCCCTCCCCAAAGAGTCCAGTCCGTGCAAGCCCTTCTCTCCTAAATAGTGGTTCGATACCGACTCCCCTGGTTCCTCTTCTGATACGATCGAGCTGTCGGCGCCGCCTACAACACAACCCCCTTTCCCATCGTCCAACTTTTCGCACACTTTCTAGCATCTCTTACACGACATTTTCCGGATATCTTCGCCAAGTATTTTCTAGTGTTCCCCTAAAATTTCCTGTTAGGTTGGGGCGGGAGCACATGCATTGAAGTTGGGATCTTGTCGCAGGTCCATAAATAGCGCCTCCCACCCACCTGAAGGAGTGGTTCGACTTAAAAAAACCGGGGGTCCGAGACACGACCCGCACCCCCTGACTTCCCTCCTCTGAAGACGAGTTGAGCGAGGGAGGAGAAGGGGAGACATAAATGTGTAAAACGGAGAATGACGCGGTGAGAAAATACGAGGGCCGGCTCTTTCCCATTGTTCCAGACGGACACCTTTCCCTAGATTTCCCGTCGCTTCCTATCAGCGTTTTCCAGTCCTTATGCGCGGAACTTCCACGAATTCCTCGGCGAAAATTTCCGGCCGCGAGTGTTTTTCTCCAAAAACTTCTGTGCTAAATTAAGGTGGGGGTGGAGAGGTACTATTAGCCACAATTAGCATTATATTGAACACGGAAAAAACACCCGGGCTGGCGAAAGTCAGCAAGAGGAAAAAATTTTCGTCCAATTTTCTCAGAACGCAGGCTAGCGACCTTTCCCTCTTTCGGCCCGAGCGAACGAAGCAAATGAACGACCGGTCCCCTCCCGTATAGCGTAGACATGACAAACAAAAGAAAAACCCAATATTTACCTGTGAAAGGGATCTTCTCCTGACAGATCAAAATACACGACCACCCCGCCCCTGCCCGCACGCGACGCGAATGCCGATCCCCTCTGGCGGAATTCCCTGAATGTCCTCTGGCGGGGATGGGGGGGAAGGGGATATAGCACATGTTCAACATCCGCGGGACATTTTTTTACCAGCACCACAAATTGATCTCGAAGGCAATTACGACCCTCCCCCTCTCATAACAACGAGCGAATACGACCCACCTGTTAGGGATTCTCTCGACGATGCAAATAGCGCCCGTGCAACAGGAAAAATCAACTATCGAAAAAATTTTTTCTCAGGTCAAATACACTCTCCTCCTCCCAGCGACCAAATACGACCCCTCTCTCGCTGGGGATTCCCGACGTACGACGTGGCCTAGTGAGGGTCACTCAATATAAATATGCGGCGACATCTGATTTGTCGGGCGGGCTTGAATCTGTGCTGTAGAGAACTTCTTGAACGGGGGAACGATCCATGGAATGCGTAATACTTGGCCGTGAAGGCGCAGTACTCAGCACGTCGCAATGACGTGAATCATCGTCTTCTACAATGTCTGTGTTTGGATGACTTCCGTTCTATTCATCGATACATTTTTCTCCATTATTGATTTTTCGTAAAAAGGGAGGAGGGAGCTTTTCCTGCATGGATTCTCGGCGAGGTGTGGAAGCTGGTCGGCCCTGGAGTGCCTCCCGCCGGCACCACATCACTTATATCGCGGCGCATTCGACAGTTCTAGACTTTCCAGCGCTTTCTGCTCCATGTGAGATTGCTCTGTCATCACTTTTGCCCCATTCTTGTAGATCCGCACCAGTACCTTCCTGTCTATGCCGTTTTCCTAACTTAACATCCTATCTTCGATCCAACTAATTGCTGATTGCTTCGGTGACGCATCCCAAATAGAGTACTCCGTTAGGGGAAGGCTCGTACTTGGCCGATGGCGGTCGTGCCCTTTGATAGAACTTCTTCAAGCGGCGATGAAAACTCTGAGGTATCTACCCTCTTACTAGCTTGAAGGCGTAGCAAAATACTATGGGACTACTACTTCTGATACTTGAAATAAGTAGTCGATTTCTGAAGATTTCCACCCCTCTCCCCCACTAGACGGCAGTTCTGGGGTTTTAGCAGGAAAAGCTTTTGGAAACTTGGGAAAAGTTGTAAGAAAGGTAGAGCATTCGAGAAGGTCGTAGGTAAGATGGGAAAGGGCGAGGATGCAACCAGTACTGGAAATTTTGAGCCGCTCTTCACACATCACGATGCTGTATTCTGTTCCCATCAGGGCACATCATCGACGCTGCGGAAAATTTCTGCAGAATGTGACCTCCCCCGTACAATTCTGTCCTTTAACAGCCAAATACGACCACATTGTGATTTCCACAACGATGATGTGCACTTGTTCATCTCCGTACCCTGTCCTCATCCTTCCCTACCCAAATCTTCACTCATCGAACCACATGGCTGCTTCATAGCGCTGCTGTAGAAAAAACCTCCGATTTATCAACAAATAGCTGTCTGTTTCAGGTAGCAAGCAGCCGGCGCCTCGGCGGACGGCGAACACGATGCTGATACCCGCGCTTCTGGGCCTCTGTATATTGGCCTTCGAGCGCCCCGGCAGGTCTGTGTTTATCATCTCTAGCCATTCTTATACGTTCAGATACTTCTTTGCTTTGGAACGTTACGAGAGCTGAAAAGGAAAGGCACCACAAACTACGTCTGCATAGAAAACACTATATTTTGAATGGAATAGTAACGTCCAAGTTTCAGTTAAATCAAATGTTCTCGAGTGTCCCCAATGAAGCACATATGTAGCGAGATCCGCTCCCCCGATTCTCGGATTCCCGTGTCCACACTAAATTATACGAAATAATTTAAGTTTGGTTTTTTTATTACGGATGGAATCGGGTTGATTCGATCGACACAATGGGCGCACTCGGTTGGGAACGGGACACGTGCAGGACCAAGATTCCTACAGTTCTCTGTGAATTCGAAGGGTCGATCAGCGCCGAACAGCTTTTTTCTCATGGAATTGGAACTTAGAGAAAAGTTCGCGACAGGGAGCGTAGGTACAATCCTTATCCCTAAGACGGAGTAGGCGTAGCATCTGAACATGGCATAGAACAGATTACTCGTGGTAATTTCAATTTGAGAGAACTGCCACCTTCTCATGTTGGACAGAGACATGACCACAATTGTGTCAAAATGAAAATATCTCACCAAAAGCACAGCCACCGCCACGTTTAGTTGAAGTACGCAGCCACGCCTACCACATCTCAGGTATTTAGGGGGGTAATGGTGATGGAATATGGAAGAGAAATTGCTAAGTGACTCGCCTGTGAAGAGAAAATGCTAAGGGGACGTAAGAAAGGCCTTCAGTAGGACCCCTTCAGTCTCAACTACGGATAAAAGGCAATTAAGGTACTGCCTGCCCGGTAGCATCGCTTTTGCTGGAGAGGGGACTTTTAAAGGCGGAGTCTGTAGGCAGAGTCACTGGGAAAAGGAGGTGCCTCGAAGCAACTTTGCGGTTGACCCCTTCACCTTACCACTTCCGGCCGCGGTCCGGCCGCGGAATGGTCAGGGTTGTCCACTAAGGACGAATTACCCTATCCGCACAATCGTTTGCAATTCCGCAGGGGTCGTCGCGGAACAATCCTTTCAAGATAGCAAACAGAGACTACTCTTGCTTCCACACTGTGGCTTCCGAACAGTTTGGATAGATACGCTTCATATCCCGGAGCTGGAAGGGCGTGGCTGCGTTCTTCATTTGAACATTGGCATTGATGCATTTTTCGTGGGTTATTTCCATTTGAGACAACTGTCATCCGTCTTGGACTGCGTGAGAATGACATGATTGGCGTCAAAAACGGCACTATATCCATCAGGAAGATCAGCCGCGACAGCCACGCCCTTCCCACCTGCGAGATATGAAATGTAGGTGCCGAGGCCTCATCATCGCTGTGCAAAACACGACAAGGGGCAGTAATTGGCCGCTGGGGAGAGGGATCGTATGTGACTTTTTCTTCCGCTGTTTGAGCTGTACCTCGGTGTCACGCTCGACGGCAAAGTCTTCGGGGTAATGGTGGGTACGTTGTGAAGGGGCAAAAGAGAAAGGTGGGAGTTGTAACTTGAAAAAAGTGTGTAACTCACACAACGCGATAATGTGCCCCGACCGTAACACACTGGGAAATTCTATTCCGTGTGAAGCTCCATCAGACCGCTATCCTTCTTACCGCTGTTCAACTCTACCACATTCTTCTTTGCCCGGCGTAGGTATCCCTGACAGGGTCACCTTCGAATCCTCGTTGTGCTGAACTGTTTGTATTCAAATTGTCAAGTGTTTTCAAAACATTTTCTCGAAAAAAGTAGCCCTAGTGTATCAATAGCGCTGAGAGGCAAGGCAATCTACAAGAAGATCGCTTCCGTAGCATCTGTTGTTTTGGCAGCTTTTCAGTGGAGGTAGTGCCACAACCAATGTCCAGACTATCGATCTTTTCAGCTTTCCGGAACTGAAAAAAGCTTTCACGGGCTTTTTTCGTGCAATAAAAACTAGGAAGACATCAATAGGAGTGAAAGCTCCTTTCCCTCAAGGGTTACACCTAACTGTAACAATAGCACAGGAAGTGACTGGGCATTGCACCAGAAGAACGTTCCAGATTTGTTAGTGATCGAGTTGTCACTGGGCGACTTTTTTGACGGTAAAAGACATTTCGACTCAGAAACCGGTCTTGTACGGCATTGTGACATTTGTTTTTATAGATGCAGTAACGTTTCCAAAAAAACCCCTACGGCTAGCTCAGCCGAAGTATCTCAACAGATTAGCTTTCAATAAGAGTCGATACGAAGTCTCCCGAGGTCTCAATGATTTGTTTAGATTCGTCGACGCAGCTGCCTGCAAGGGATGTGCACCACCATGCATCTGTCCGGGAACCAAAGGAGAGAAGGTACTTCACTATATTTCAGTCCAATTATCATAAAGCTTGCCATATGTCAGGGGACTAGCCGAGAACAATAAGAAGCAGTAGCGTGTCCTGCCGTTTTTGCCTCAAACCGGAGTTACTATCATGTAGTGAGGCAGCTGCTCAGTGTATCAGGTTGACCAATGTCTGAGACGAAGATTGAGCTCCAGGAATTTTTTTAGTTTAGCTCTTGAACTATAGCACCGTTTGTTTGGCTGCACCATTCGACTGTGGTATGGTCTTTGTTGGCGTCCTCACGTTCATAGCCGAACCATCACAGGGAACAGCCATAAGGGTAGACTCCTTAGGGTCCAGTACACCGCAGGCAGGATCGACACCAACCCTCTTCAAGTTAGTGGTCTCTATGGCCCTATGGAGTTTACCCTTATGGCCGTCTTCTGTGATGTGTTCGACTACAGTTTATCCTCAATCATTCTCGTTCCGCTGGATGGCTGCTACTGGCGGTGTTTCAATTTGAGGGTGACCCCTTCACCTCGAGCGGGTGGAGCCTAACACCTGCGCTCTCTTCCTTCTCCATTAAGAATCTTACTGGCTAGACAATTTCATAACAGTTTGGCAATGCTGAGACGATATAGCAGGGAGAAGGGGTGGACACAGAGGAAATCTTTCCCTTGCAAGATAATATCCCCCCATATTGCGAAGTTACGTTAGACGAAGCTGCGGAGCGTCGACTAGACGATTCTTCTCCATCCATGTGTAGCCCTGCCAGTCACCTTCCGGCTACGACCAACTATGTCTTCGTCTCATCGCTTGGAAGAACGCCCTATGTCAAGGAAGACGACCCTATTGGACGTTCTGTCATTCTTCGATAGTAAGTCCCCAGCTCTTCACCAGAAGGGAATTTACAACTTGTGAACGTTGGTAGGATGTTGTAAATATCGATGTAGGGTACGTTGGTAATAGGAAAACTGAACACAAGCGACTAAATAGAGCGTAAATGCAGTGTTGAAAGTGTCCCGAAGTTTCTGGCCAACCTAACACTATGCTAAGCGCAATTCGGCTTGAAGGCACGGTCCGCGATCAGGTATAGAAGTTGAAAATATGGCGTCGGAGGGTAGTGTGGTCCGCGACGAACAACCTTGTACCGGTTTCGCGGCAAAAAATTGTAAGGGAGGGGCGCTATAGCGCAATATAGGTTCAGTGACGCCTCCTTACCTCCAGTGTCTCCGCCTCCAGGCTCCGCCTCCAAGACCGGCCTTCGAAAAAACGAAGCTGCAGGGCGAGAAAAACATGAAAATAAAAGCTCTATCGTCAAAACTGGGACTGGAATGGATATCCTATCTAGGGCACTTGGCATGTTTTTCTCTGATTTTTTTCTTCACTCTCGGATTACTCAGAACCCCGTCGTCTGTATTGAAACCTCGAATTCACTATCTAAGATGGCGAACGATCGCGAGCGTTGCCTTTAATGAGGACATCAAACGGTGCGCAGCGAAATTCGTGTAGCAAAATGAAGTAGCAAAAAAGCAAACCCTGCCCCCTTCCTGGGCCGGACAGCGCTCAACTTTCAACTTCCGGCCGCTGTGCGGGTTTGGAGACCGTTATTTCTCGGAAGGAGCGTAGTTTTCTAAAGCCTTCACGTGAAAGAAATTTAGGATTTTTGAGTGAACAAAGGGCCGTTACACATAACCTGCCTGTACCATTGCTAATGGCAGCAGAATGTGATGCGCACCCTAGGTTTAATCATTGACGCTGAGCGCTTCATTTCTCTCTTTGTCTACAGCTCCAAAATGCAATCCCATTTATCTAAAATTCAGGGCGGGATTGGATTTCCTGGTGAAGTGGGTCATCCTGGAGCGCCGGGACTTGATGGACCTGAGGGACCCGCTGGTGCTCCTGGCATGACTGGTGCCGAAGGCGACTTTGGCGACATCGGACCGAAAGGAGTTCGAGGTGACAGAGGACTGCCAGGTGCGCCTGGTCATCCTGGTCTCCCAGGACTCGACGGACTTCCAGGATTGAAAGGAGAAGAAGGAATACCGGGATGTAATGGAACAGATGTAAGTGTGTTTGTAATCACGTTCTTGTTGATGTATGGTACCTCTATATGAAACCGTTAAGGGATTCCCCGGACGGCCAGGACTTGCAGGACCACCTGGACCACCTGGACCTCCTGGAGCTCCCGGAAGACCTGGTCTTACCGGACTACCAGGAGAAGGTGGAGTCAATTCAGCTGGACGTAAAGGAGAAAAGGGCAACACAGGAACACCTGGAATGCCTGGTCTACCAGGACGCGATGGTTTGCCTGGATTGAAAGGATGGAAAGGAGATCCTGGACCACAGGGGCCGCCTGGATTCCCTGGACCACCTGGTCCAAAAGGAAGAATGGGAGCACGTACACCAGGTGTTAAAGGAGAAAAGGGTTTGCAAGGACCTCCTGGATTACCTGGTCCACCAGGAGCATTCCCTGGGGCATCTGCTCCAGAAGAAATTGAAGTTCTTCAGGGCCCTATTGGACCCCCAGGTAACACTTGTGGTTATTTCAGCTTTAGGGATTCGCTCACTGTAATAGTTTCCAGGAGTGAAAGGAGAAAAAGGTCGCGATGGACCCATGGGACCTCCAGGACTGATGGGCGTGAATGGAGCAGACGGATATCCTGGTCTAAAAGGCCAGAAAGGAGATATTGGTGATGCAGGAAATCGAGTGAGTTGGACATAAAGCATTAAGTTAGTCTATAGTGAAAGCCTCAGCCATAATCCGCATCTTTACAGGGCAAGCGAGGCAAAGATGGCGTTCATGGGCAGTTCGGTGAGAAAGGATCTCAAGGAGAGCAAGGTCTCCCTGGTCTTCCCTGGATATCCTGGACCCAAAGGAGAGGCTGGAGAACCGGGATATGATGGTCGCCCTGGTATAGAAGGAGATGTTGGACCACCAGGACCATTTGGAGAAGGTCACGGAGATGCTGGAGTACGCGGCTTGCAAGGAATTGATGGAGTACCGGGCCCAAAAGGTTTGCCTGGCAAGGACGGTCTCCCGGGAGCTGTTGGACCTAGAGGACCTGTTGGAGCTCCTGGCCCTCAAGGACGCCCTGGTTTGGATGGACTTCCTGGCTACTCGGAAAAGGGAGATCGTGGTGACGATGGTTATCCAGGTTTCGCTGGTGAACCCGGCATGCCTGGTGAAGAAGGTGACTGTGGGCCTCCTGGTGAGGACGGTCCACCTGGCTACGATATTCAAGGTCCACCAGGAGTCGACGGTCAGCCAGGAAGAGACGGATATCCTGGACTACCTGGCGAAGTTGGTGAGCCGGGCTACCCTGGAGAAAAGGGATTCCCCGGAGCAGGTGTGAAAAAGGTTGGTCCACCAGGACAACCGGGACTCATGGGACCTCCAGGAGAAAACGGTAATCATTCAAATGTAATTAATCCTCACTTAACTGAAACTCTGAAATTACAGGACGAATTGGTCTTGACGGATTGCCGGGACCACCAGGAGACAAAGGTCCAAGAGGAGACGATTGCGGATACTGCCCGGATGGTCTTCCTGGACTGAAGGGAGAGCCAGGAGTGCCCGGTGTTGATGGATATCCTGGACCTCCCGGCCCAGATGGTGAAATGGGTGATTGTGGCCTGAAGGGTTTACCAGGAAAGCCGGGATTCCCTGGACCGGATGGACTTCCCGTAAGAAGAATTGAATACTCTTTCCCCCATGTGAGTACAAGATAATTTTTCTTCATTGTAGGGATCAGTGGGTTTGCCAGGAATTCCTGGATATCCCGGATTGAAAGGAGAAGCTGGAGAGATTATCGGCCCAATGGAAAATCCGCCTGGCGTTGATGGAGCCAAGGGAGAACGAGGAGTTCCTGGTGAGTCGGGCTTTCATAAGCAAATTCATGTCCTTGTATTCTCACTGAAT